ATATTTAAAATTTATAATTAATAGTAAAGAAATAAAGATTACCTTAGCTAAGATATAGAAAGTACTTAAATAGCTAAAACTTACAACAGTTAAGAAAGTTAAGGGATTTCTTAAACTATTAGGCTACATTAGATAAATAATTAAAGACTACTTAAAAATTACTATACCTCTAACAGACACTACTACTAAGAAGTAGGTAATAGTAAAGTTTGTTTAAACTTTATAAATAAATAAAGCATTTATAGCGCTAAAATAGGCTGTAACAGCTAAACTAGTGTTAAAAATGTATAACTTATAACTAGATACTAAAATCTACACAGACGCATCCCTAGAAGCTAGTAGAGCAGCATTTTACTAAAAACAGAAAGACAGAAGATAGCACCTAGTAGCATATTACTTAGCTAAGTTCTTAGGACCTAAAGCTAGCTACAGCATACCTAATAAAGAGCTAAAAGCTATACTAAACGCAGTAAGAGTATAAGCTACAGAGTTACATAGAATAGTAAAGCCCTTTTACATTATAACAGACTATGTAAACTTAGTTATGTTTTTAACTATAAAAAAACTTTTACTAATGCACATAAAATAAGTAATAAAGCTTATGTAATTTAACTGCATTATTAAACATGTACCTAAAGCACAAAACTAGTAGGCTAACGCTCTTAGCTAAAGACTAAATTACTTTAACAGAAAAAAAAAAAAACTAAAAAGTTTACCTTTTTTAAAGAAACTAATAAAGAATAGCTTTATAATAGACTATAGCTTATAAAAGAATTCTGTATGCTTATAGTAAATAAGCAAGAATAAAAAAATTTAATCTAAAAATACTATAAATCTCTAATGTTTAGACACCCTAAAATAAGCACTCTCTAGAAAAAACTAAAGGCTGCTATACTATAATAAATACTAAAAGTAAAGTAATTATGCACTAAGGTGCTTAAAGAATGTAATACCTGCAATAAAAACAACTTATAAAGGTATAAAGCTTATAAATACTTATAACTAATTAAAGCTCTAAAGTAACTTTAGATAATAATTATAATAGTCTTTATTATAAAACTACCCCTATTTAAGAAACTAGAAATAAAAAGAATGTGTAACATAATTATAGTAGCTTTTAATAAAACTACTAAATATCTACATACCTAGCCCTTAAAAAAATAATAATAGCTAAAAAATTTATTTATAAATTAAAACAAAACATAATATTAGTATATAGATGCCTTAAGATAATTATCTTTAACTAAGATAAACTATTTACTAGCAAATTCTAGAAAGCAGCTATGCAGCACCTTAGTATAACACACAAGCTGTCTACAGCCTACTATTTATAGACAGATAGTTAGACTAAGAGAGTAAACACTAAAGTAGAAAAGTACTTTGAAAAGTATGTCTCCTACAACTAGAATAATTAGGCAGAATAGCTTTTAATAGCATAGTTAGCTATTAACACTGTAAAATTAGCTATAACAAAGGAAACACTATATAAAGCTAATTTTAAGTACAACTCTTACTTTATACTATAAAAAAAACTAACTTATAGACCTTTAGAAATTAGTAGACTAGTTATTAAACTTATAAAATATATATAAAAAGTTAGTAATAGAAGCTAGATCTAGTTAAGAAATAATAAAAAAATATGTAAATAAATTATAATAACTAGGACTAAAAATTAGCCTAAGAAACTATATGTACTTTAACACTAAAAATCTTAAAATATCTAGACCTTCTTAGAAGCTAGCAGAAAAAAGAATAAGGCTATATAAAGTTTTATAGACTTAATAAGACAATTATAAACTTAAGCTTTCTCTACACATAAAAATACACCTATAGTTTTATGTCTCTAGACTAGAAAAAGCTTTTAAAGAGATTCTCTTATTTACATGAAAATAAAAAGATAAAGAAATTAAGTATAAAGTTAAACACATTATTAGTAATTAAAAAAATAAAAAGAAGTTTTTAGTAAAGTAAAAAAAGTAGCTTACTAGTAAAAACATAGAAAAACTAGCTAAAAATTTACAGAATGCGCAGCAGTTAGTATAAAAGTACTTTTAGGCTTATTTAAAAAAAACTAGCTAGGTAATAAAGCACCTATATTAAAAAAAATAGCTACATTATTATTAAATAGCAGCAGCCTTTAAAGACAAGTCTTAGCTAATAAAAGCTGTAAAGAGAAGCAACTTTTTACTTTAGCCTCTAAAGCCTCTATCTTGTCTAAAAAGAAGAGGTCTTTTTTTAAATACCTAGCGCGCTAAGCCTCTAGTAGATCTAGTAATTTTTAGATATAATCCTATTTAGAACACTTTTTATCTCTTACTGCTAACATTTTCTTCTGTAAATAAAGTTGCTTTTAATTTTAAGACAACTGTTTATCTAATAACACATAATCCTATGCTTATAAAGCCTTAGTAGACTAAAGAAGTGTCTTTTTTTTTTAATTAATTTTACATAGTGTTAGAGATAAAAGCATTACATTTATTATACTTTTTTACACACTTAACACATTTATCTAAGGATAAAGTTAACATATAAGATAACTCTAAAGATTAGTAAGCGCTATAGAGCCTTATTTTTATTTAATAAAAAAAATTAAAATGTAAAGTAATATAAAGATAATAAAATAAATAAGACTAATAAGCTATTTAGTTTAAAAAAAATAAATGTTAAGAATGCCTTCTAGTAAGTAAGCACTTACTTTATAAATAAACTTTTACTAACATAGTTATGTAAGCAGAGCAGCAAGGACGCTACTAGGGAGGAGGGGCAGTGTGTTACAATCTATAGTTAGACTAGCGTAACTCTACTAGCAGTGCTCTATAATCTAGCTAGATTAGGACAGGGCTTGCTTATAAACTAACTAGAGGACACAGAAGCAGCACAGCTGCCTACAGTAATAAAGGAATGTGTTGTTTAATAGAGAGAACAGGCTATAAGTCTAAGAAGCTTAAGAGAGCTTATAAGAGCTTGCCTTAGCAGACTCTTATAAACCTCTTTTACTCCCCTTAGCACCTCTAGTACATGTATATAGTTCCTACATTAAATAACCTTTAGAAGGTGTGTTTAATGTTTAGTTTATTCTCTACATAGACTAAGTAGCATTTAGCTTTTTAATAAGCTGTAATACTATTTATATATCTTATACTATATATACCTCTAACTCTGTCTAATAGGACTGTTTAGCCTAGCCTTTCTACTACTGCATTAAGGGCAAACCACAATCTAGTTACTCTACTCCCCTCTAGTAGCCCACTAGCCTATACGTAGGACTGTACACCCTACCGTTGGCCCCTACCATCCGTCCTACTTCTCTCCTAGGAATATCTTAAGACCTGAGTGCTTCTACGAAGCAAGGATTGTAACATGTTTAAACAAACAAGGATAGAATCTCTCTATCTTCCCCTCTGACAAGTCACGTGACCTAACAGACAAGGAATGGACAGAACTCTTAGACTAATGCACAGCCAAATGCGCTGTCTAATGAGCTGAGCGCGTTTGTATGCAATGCATGCAAAGCATGCAGAGCATGCAACCCTATGTATATAATTTAAGATCCTAACTACATTTAGAAGTTATAATTAAAGTTTAGTCTAGTTTACTATTACATAGACTAAGTAGTATTACTACTTTTTAATAAAAAGTAATCTAATAGTATATCTTGCACTACATATACCTTCTATCTTGTTCCTACACAGGAACTGTTTAACCTAAGCACCTTATACTGCTGTTAAAGAGCAAACTACAGTTAGCTGCTTCTCCTACTCCTAGCAACTACGCCTTAACAGACTGTACACCTGCCTAAGACTAAGTTCTCTCCCTTCGCTCCCCTAACTACCTCCCAGGCCTAGAGTTCTTCGGACACTATTTCTCTAAAGTAAAGATTGTAACAGTTACTAAGTCTATATACTTCTATTTTTATAGCTTACTTTATTATGTTAATGCTTTAAATAACTATTATCTAATTTCTATTACTTTACTATATTACTTTTAGCTATTCTTATCTTTCTAAAGCTGTAATAACTGCTTTAGTTAATATCTAGCCTATTATAAAGCCTAACTTATTAAAGTTATACCTGTCTTTATTCTAAATACTGTACTTAGCTTTTATGTTAGCTACTAGGCAAAACTAGCCTTAGATAACCTCTAGATCTTTATAAAGTGCTTTTTTATAATTATACTTATAATTAAACTTTATTATAAACTTAAAGCAGTGCTTAACCTACATACTAGGCTAGTTTAAGCTAACCTAGCCTAGATTACACTCTGCAGGCAAGGAATTAGCTATATTAGCTATAGCTGTAAGCCTAGAAAGAAATCTGCATGTAATAAGCTTAAGTATATACTTAACAACTACTTTTTTTTTAAGATTAGTTAAATTTCTTAATTTAGGCTAGCATTCTACTTATAAAGGCTGTCTAGCGCGTTAATTACTTAGTGTTATGTAAAAGACATTATAGATAGCTATAGCGTGTTATAAGGAGAGTTTTAAGTCTTATTTAAGAGCTTAAAGAGCAAGCTGTATCTAATGTTCTTTAGAAGATTTAATCTAGTGTTGTTGTTAAGGCATTATGTAGATAGGTAGAGTTTAGTAGGGGCTTAGCAAAAGTGGCCAGCCAACCTGTGTGGCCGGCTAACCCGTTAGGTACGTTATTATTATTTAGCTTTTATAAGTTAGCTATAGAATTAGCTTATAAAAGTTATCTTGTGTGTTAGTTATTTATTATTTTATAAAAGACTTTATACATAGCTATAGTATATTACTTTAAAAGTATTATGTTTTATTTAAAAGCCTAAAGTATAAGCTATATTTAATATTTCTTTAGAACATCTAAGTAGTGTTAACTATTAGGAATGTATTAGTATAGGAAAAGTAGTTTAGCAGAGTCTTAGTAAAAGTAAGCAACTTAGGTGTGTAAGCAACTTGCCTGTAGTGTACGTTAATATGTTTTTAACTCTCTTTATAGCTTTTATTTACTATTACTATTAACAAATCTTAAGGCTGGTTACATATAGCTGAAATTTCTACAAGTATCAAGCGCTGTATTACAGATCGCATGATCCCCATTTGGACTTAGACGATGGCTATTCGCGAGGTTGGACGTGGGTGAAGACAACAAACGGAGGTTTTCTCCTTCGACCGAACGGCTGCACTTCCCAGAGGGCCCTGTACTCCTTCAGCCGATGTTTATGTTACGCCTCTCTATGCCTCTGAGGCAAATGACACCAGAAGAAAGAGAAGTACTTTGGAGGCTTTTCAATCATTTGGCGAACAACAAAGGCTCTCATTAACCGCGGCCCACTAACAAAATAAATCTCATTATCCCTCTCATTCCTTCCAGTCATCCTGTGCTATCCAGAGTATCACCTTCATCTTAAAGTACAGTTTTGGATTTAGACCCCTCCATCTTTCGCCATTAGGAAACACCCTTATTCATATTCTATTGCCGTGGGTGATCAATGGTTGAAAATACTGTGTAGAGTTCATCTCCGCAATCATGAAGAAATCTCTTTTGTCACACGCAACACTAATTTTGGAACCTGCCAACTTCCCGTCATTCTCGTAGTTCCAGCACTCAAACTCATTTGCCCCAATATCTCTGCCCGGCCCGTTAGAGTGAATGCATATCCAAAAAAAAAAGCACCCAGAAGAGTGGCTCTAAATTGTGCATGAACGAATGATTTGCTTCGTCAAGAGGCACCCTGATGGCCGTGAACGCTGGTGTGCCGGCCTTCCCCCGTGCTCCAGAAGACTCTTCCCACTGCTCCTTGATTGCAAGATCGAGGTCGATCAAAAACGAGCACCAGGAGGGGTTATAGACGTCTTCATTAACCATGAGGTTGCTTGGCGACATGTTACATTGTAGTATACCGGCCTGGGTGTGTAACGACTTGTATCCTTCGATGCAGCCTTCTAGCACAGCAAGAAGGCTAACCTTGGAGCTCGCCTTGTAGATGGCCTTCCCGTAGTCTTGGACAATGACGCGGCGATGTACTCGGTTCGCCATCGCCCTTCTACCTTTTATCGGAGAGTTTGAACGGGTTCACTTGCTAGGCGGCAACGGCACATCCGTACAGCTCGAAGACGGCTTGGGCCTGGCGTTGCTGCTTCGGTCTTTCCGCAAGGTGCGACATGCCTATCGGATTGGATTGGAGTATTTCCGACTGAGATGGAATTGTCATTGTTGGCAGTGTAGGTCGCGGTTAGGTTGCTCGGACGAAGTCGCGTTTGCGGAATTTTGTAGGATTAAATGTGTCGGCGAAAGCATGGGTAGCCTGAGATGAAGTGCGATGTGAGAAGGACGTTGAGAAGAACGATGGAAGGAACGGAGGCGCGATAATGCACAGGTACTGACAGGGTGGCAGGCTGGGAGGCTGGTCCGTAATAACGTAATATCGGCGTTCTATGCCAAGAACATTGCACGTGCTCTCAGACTGGCAAGGGTGCTATTGACTAGGTACAGTGCCAGACGAGAAGTTGGGTATGTGGAGAGAGAGTTGGGAGTGGAAGGGAGAATTAGATTTCACTATTCATTATTTGAGAAGCTCCAAGGGTCTCTTAGTTCTTACTGTATTACCTAATGAGCCTCAAAACTAAACCTATTAAGAAGCATCAGGGGCGTCTTCGGCGACACGAAATTGGCGGCATTCGCAAACTGCTAGCGTACCTTGTCAGTGCAACGACGAATATTGTAGAGAAATGGGGGGCCGGTTTGGAACCAGATGGGTGGGGACAGGGGATCATTTTGGGTTGGAGGGACCGAAAAGGGTGCTGCGGGATGAAAGGGTCCAGTTTAGAAACCTCTGGGGCCATTTGGAGTTGGTGACGGCAGCGACGTCATCGCTAAATCACGCTTCCCCAGCGCTAAGTCGCCCGCTCTCGTTGCAAGTTCTCCAGCGACAATTCCGCAGCGCCTTCTCGCCGTTGCTCTCCCGCATCTGTCGCCAGCGATTGTGGAACCCCCTGGACGCTAGCGAGATTATTGTTTGCGATCATGGTTTCGCCGACGCTGTTGATTCCAAGTTCCAACCTTAATGTAATTTTGTGTCTTGTTGGCCGGGAATCAGCTCGGGCTGCCCACGCTGCGTCCGCAAGCTTGCGGCCTTTTCGTTTCAACCGCTATCAATCGCGAATACCCATCAATAGACTAGAACACAGAGTAAGTAAGCTATGCGTAGTAGCGTTCTCCCTCGTCACTCTCAAAGCTTCTTGGAGACGTTGTATCTCATTGGTTGCTGATTGACTTGGCGACCATTGGGCTATTTAGACACTGCTTTACCCCACCTCTCATCTTCTATCGTGAGACGTTCCAGCGCGATGGCGGAACCCATCAGCCTCGCGTCTGGACTACTTACGCTTGCCACCTTCGCCTTTCAGTCCAGCATCACGCTCTACAACACGATTCAGAGTTTCCAAAATCACCCTGAACGTGTACGCAGTCTCGCAGCAGAGCTAGAAGCGCTACAAGGAGTTCTGCGCACTCTAAGCGATACCCTCAGCAAAACTACTGATATTGACGTCTCTGCCCTCAGTCTACCACTGCTACGATGCGGCAAGGCTTGCGGAGAGTTTGAAGAGGAACTTAGGAAATGCTCATCACGGTCGAGTAGCAGTCGGACGAGCTTTCGGGACTGGGCGAAGCTGAAGTACATGGGTGACGGCATCGACGACTTCAGGCAGCTACTGGCTGGATACAAATCTACCATTAGTATCGCGCTCACCGATGCCAACCTGTGAGTTCTTCGGCTCTGTGTTCTGCAGCCGCTCTAAACAATGAACAGTCGCAAATCTTCCGTTACAGCCGAAAGCCTCCAAGGTTACAAACGCCTCATCAAGACCGCGACCGATGATCTTGAAGCACGCCTCGAGAGTATCGACGAGAAGCTCGAAACTATTTTCACGCGCACCGCCACCGACTCAGAGACAGTGGAATTGCGCCACATGCAGGAAGAGCGGCTGAGCACACAACAATGTCTCCAGATCTGCGCTCAGCTATCTGAGCACATCAGTCAGATCCAGCTGAGACCCACACAACGCAGCCTAGGTTCTTCTGCGGAGTCAGCTGGTGTTCCTGAAAGAATAGCTGGCGAGGCCATGCAGGAGTGCAAGATGCGCCTGAACCAAGCAACTGCAAAGCTGGAGGGGTACATGCACGACGTGATCAACCGACTGATGACACAATCTAAGGCAAGCATGGCGCAGGATGAAATTGCGAACCTAGAAAGCCTTCGCGAGGAATGGTCGACCGCTCGCCAGTGCATGGACATCTGCTTCAAGGCAGATTACAACTTGAAAGAGAAAATAAGCATCATCGAGAATCAAGCTACCGGAGATGAGACTGTTCAGTTCCTGGTGTCAACCAGCGAGAAGACTATACATGGTAAAAATAGAGGGGATGGCTTTAGAATCAGGCAAGTCGGAGGTCACCTTAGCGATGAGTCGCTCCAACAGCTGTCACGGGATATTGCGGTGATTAGCTCTGTGAGGGATGAAGTTCTATCTCGGGAAGGTGACACACTGCCTAGCACCGATAGTGCTGTCGGAGAGGCAGACAAATCAGACTTTCAGCAACGCCACGGCCGTGGCATGAGGCTTGCATCTAAGTCTAATTCGGGTCCCAAGTCGTCAGATGGCAGCGAGCTTGAAGGCTCGCAGAAGAAACCAAGCGCAGGATTACGGGCCGCATGATACCCATTTGCGCTCAGGCGATGACCATTCGCGATGTTAAACGTGAGTGAAGACAACAAACGGGGGTTTTCTCCTTCGACCGAACGGCTGCACTTCTCAGAAGGTCATGTACTCCCCTCGGCCAATGTTTATGTTACGTCTCGCTATGCCTCCGAGACGAATGACACCGGAGGAAAGAGAAGTACTTTGGAGGCCTTTCGATCATTCGGGGAACAACGAAGGCTCTTATTAAACGCGGTCCACCAGTAAAATGAATCAGATTATTGTCCCTCTAATTCCAGTAAGTTATCCTGTGCTTCTTGAAGTATCTCTTTTATATCAAGGTAAAGCTTTGCGTTTGCGTCCCTCTATCTCTCACCATTAGGGAACACCTTTCTCCCGTAACCTATTGACGCAAGGGATGAGTGGTTAATAAAACGGCGTAAAGTTCATCTCTGCGATCTTGAGAAAATCCCGTTCGTCGCCCACAACGTTCTTTTTGGAACCTGCCAACTTCCTGACGCTCTCAAACTCCGTTGGCCGACTGTCTTTACCATGTCCGTCATAATAAATGCAAATCCAGAATAGCATCAAGGACGACTCCAGATCATGCATAAATGAATGATTTTTATCGTCGAGAAGCACTTCAATCGCCACGAGCGCCCGTGTGCCGGTCTTCCCCATTGCTCCCAAAGACTTCTCCTGCTTCTCCTTAACGGCAAGGCCGAGGTCGATCAAGAAAGCGAGCTAGGAGTTGCGGTTGCTTTCGTTCACCATGAGGTTCTTTGGTGAGATATCGCCCCGCAGCAGACTAGCCTGTGTATGTAGCGGCTCGTATCCGTCCATGCAGCCTTCCAGTGCGGCAAGAAGGCCAGCCTGTGAGCTCGCTTTGTATATAGGCTTTTAGTAGTCTCGGACAATAACACAACGATGTGCTTGATTTGCTACCAGCCTTCCGCCCTTCGTTAGAGAGCTAGAACACCTTCGTTTGCTCGGCGGCAAGGTGTGTCCTGCAGCTTGAGAGCCGCTTCTACCCACTAGCGCTGCTGCTTCGGTCTCTTCGTGAGATGTGGCGTCCAGCCCTGGTTGGGGGGAGCATCGAGCTTTCTGGTCATAGTTTGTCGCTTTTGTTATCCGAGGTTTCTTCGCACGCTCCCCTGGACGTCGTCGTCCCGATCATTGACACGGACGGTCGAATGGTAATAGTATCTCCCGACATTGACCACGCCCTTCTTGGTCGCCTCGCGTAGTAACTCACCCTCCTCATAGCGCTCCGGAAACTCCCACGAGTCTTTGATAACAAGGGGTGCTCGCGTATTGTCTCCCTCACGATGGACTGTCCAGCAGGTCTTTGCTCGTCCAGCAACACTGGGCGCTATCTTATACAAACTTGCATGACCTAACTCTAGCTTGACTTTGGACGAGCAAAGCAAGACCCAAACACGCGGTTGCGAAGCGAGGTAGGAAGAGATGGATATTTCCTATCGGCTGCGAATGGCGCACAGTGAGGAAAGCCGATGGGGATTTTCTGACTCGTGATGGGATGCCAGGCCAACTGTTCTCGGCTAAGCCCGAACCTGCTTCCCCCTTATTGTACAAATCAAACTTGCAGCGACAGGGAAGGGAAGGATGAATACGGGCGAAAAGCTAAATCCAACCTACGCGCTTTTTAGCAACGGCGATGATTAAAGAACATACTCATTCCTCCGGCACATGACCCAACAACAAAGAGCATCCTGGTCACCTTTTTCTTCTATTCCGTGTCGAGCGAAACGTGTCATCTTTCTCTTTGCAAATTTTCCTGCCTCTTATCCTGAGCTGCCTTTCCAGAACTCGAGAGTTGTTTTATAGTCGGATCCTTTTACCAAATCTATTGCTACTATCTACTGACCATCTTATTTTGAAAGTCACGAGCTTCTGTTGACGGTTGGGATATTTGCAAACAGCCTGGCCCTGCATAATCCCATGAACATACGCCTCTCCAATGAGCATAAACCTTCTTTTCAGTCGCTCTCGCCTTAATACGAATGGGATGTTTCCACCCGAGAGTACGCAAACTGTGTCGCCGTACTGCAATACGGCAGGGTCCAATGCCGACGTAACCATTGGAAGTGTAAAATAGCCTTCTCCCCCTATAGGCATTTCTACCCTTTAGGACGAAGCGAACAGCATCTCCACAAGTGGCACTTTCTCCGCAATGTGATTGAGCTAAGCCCTAGTTGATGGCATGTCTTGCTGGTCCAGAATGCAGCAAAGTCAGCAAGGTGTTCTGACACTTTCCTAATTATCATCCCACACCAATCTTTACCCACCGTAAGGGTCCAGCAACCTACTCGATCAAGGGATTTGTTTGTCAGGTAAGGACTGGATTTGGTAAGAAATTTGGTTAGTACCTCTACCAATGCTGCATTCTGTGCACTGGGATTTTCCGAGCCAAGGATAATTTGGGTCATCTCGACGATGCTATCGAATTCGATACCTGAAACGCACAGAAATTCACCCCATCTCCCTGTCCAGTTGATCGAAGGAACCGGGGTGCGTTGTGAGGCGGTATATTTTTAGACCCTTGAACCCAGCGGTGCTAGTGTATAACTAGTGCGAATATTCCACCTTGGAACCCAGGTCAGCTTTCGAACGTTAGATTCGTGCTGAATGACGGAAAGTACGTCAAGGGTCTGCATCCGCCGAAGTACTTTTCTAGCAACTTTTCGGAATACCGACCGAGTGCGTTCTTTAACGCCAGGCTCCGAAAGGAAGTCCCGGGTGGTATCCATGCTGGTAAATCCTAAGAGTGCGTAAATGCGATCTTTTAGTTTCCCGCAGTTGAGTTTTCGAGTTACTTGCAGTATATATAGGAAGCTCTCGAATGGAAGTCAATTCCCATTTTTTTATACCTGACAACCGGTGAAATAAGTAGGCACGCAGCTTTTTATGCATCATTTCTCCATAGTAAAGCGTCCTTACTAAAGTTGAAGCGTGGTCACCTGTTTCCAACGGAATACTTGCCGCTCCCCAGAGCACTTCTGGAGAGGTTACCATTGTGATTTCTTGAACGACCCATAGTCCTGAAGACCAGTCACAGTTGTAAAACGCTGTCACTGGGCTCCACCACGGGTTCTGGAGGAAGGAAGATTATCTTCGGCCAGAGCAATGCTTCTGATTCGATTGAGCGCCAGCTCGGCTTCGCCATTGGTGTCTTCCCCAAGCCATACAAGGACACGGGTAGCTTTATTGTAGATTTCTCCCATAAGCTGTATTTGGTCCGCCTTTTCTTCCTGGTCTTTCCGGTTTATCTAGACGGCATCTGCCCATACTAGCCGTTGAGCATCAGGGAGGTAGAGGCGTCCGAGGGCATTCATTAATCCCGCCGGATTTCGAGCCTTTCCACAGCACCACAGGATGCCACCACGTTGGTTCTCCCATCTATAGGATGTGCTTCGTATGACGGTGCCGAATTGGTTGACAATGTTAAGGTGACAAGACAAAGCCCGGTCACTTCCTCTACTTAGGTGGACCGCTACTAATCTTATGATCCCTGAGCTTAGAGGGTCGTATCGACAGGGTCCGAAACAGAGCCATTCGTTTTGCGTCTTGCGGAAGGCATTTCAGATACTATCGTCGTCTGAGATTAGTATGTACAGAGTGCAGTGCCTAGCAGATTGAAACTTTCCGCTTCCATTAGGATTCGCCATCTTATTCCCGTCTCCTTTCTTCGATTCTAGAAGGTTCTTCTTTCCCCTCCTTATTTTGAGCCTCCCTGATTCGAAGAGAACGACAAACCTATGCCAGGCGCATCACAGGATTCAAGTCCACATCTCTCGTAGGGGTCGCCTGCTTGAATGAAAGCTAATAGCTGAGACAATGCCTAGATTGGGACATTATTCAGGGCCGATTGACAAAACAGCTCTACTGTATTGCTTTGGGTGTGCACTTGGGGTTGAAAGGCTTTAACGGTAGCCTGGCAGTCGAATTAGCGTGGCTCAGTCGGGGCAGGTAATCAGTGCAGTGAAATGTCTTAGCTTTGTTAAAATCCCCAGCTAGCGCGCCGAACTATTACATATATATTCAAAGAAATTACTTTTGATTTACTTTAGTATAAGTAAAATCAAACATAATACTAAGATTCGTAGTTATATATAAAATTAACTAAGTGCTCAAGAGATTTTTAAAAGAATTTCATATAACTAATATATATATATAACTACTCTAGGTATCTTAAAGTTAAATTTTAAAGCCATAACTTAGCTATTATAGCTGTGAAGGTAGAAGGAAAGCTCTTTAAAAAAGCATGCATTACGCAGGCCGTGCATTACTCGATAAAACACTGTAGCTTAACTCAGAGGGGCCTTACAGTTATCCAAACTCAAATACTCGAGGAAACCAAATACTAGGCAGCAGAGGACATAAAAGCAAACTACAGGTGTTATCATCAAGTACTACATACAGCATCCAAGGGGGTGACCCGTCCTGTTTATAGAGGGTGTTCGCACAGCTGTCCAATGCTTCTCGCATAGTGTTTCTTTCAAGGGGTGGATACCAAACCGTGCGGACATTCCATCATACAATACCATTAATTCATTAACCAGATCATAAAAAAAAACCCACCCTTACCGATAATAAGTTCAAAAGCAAGACCGTCGCCTTCTTCGGTCATCAAACGCAACCACTTCAGAATCTCCAGCCAGCCGCATACCCACTTGTCACATTTCCATCATCCCAGCCCCGGATTAACAATGCCGCAGGCGTTGTAGGCCCACATGCACTGGCCGGAATGCACACATTCCTTGTACAGCAACTGTTCACCACACATACAGAGCCAACCGGACAGTCGCTACTAGCAGTACAGTCTGCGAGCCCAGCGCACAAGGCATTGCCCGCACAGAAGCCCGTGCCGTCCGAAGTAGAGTAGCAGACGCAACCACTACCCGAGCCACAGGACGCAAAAGTATTACAAGTTCGACCTGTGCATGAGTTTGTAGAACAGACGCCGTTGGCGCAGGTACCCGATGGACACTGTGGGCAGATTTAGCTGATTTCGGATCTGGGGCTGAGCTTGTCAAACCTACCTTTGTGCCGCAGGCCCCACAGTTGGCAGGGTCGGATAAAAGATTTACGCATGCTCCATTGCAAAGAGCTTGGGTGGTCGTAGTGCATGCTGGGGGTACCTTTGAAGTTGGCGATGGGATCGAAGAGTTCCCAAATGGCGGTACAGTAGGTATCCTGCTCGATGATACAGGCGGTGTTGTAGGTGGGGGAACGGGGGTCGATGGTGGACTGGAAGGTGGAGGAATTGGAGTAGAGGAAGGAGGCACTCGAGTCGAGGAAGGAGGACTGGATAGCGTGGGGATTGGAGTAGAGGACGGGCGAGTGGGAGTCGAGGGTGTGGGACTTGAGGGAGGTGGGAGGGGAGGACTTGACGGAGAAGATACAGGAGGGTTTGATGAGCGAGAAACGGAAGGACTTGGCGGAGAAGATACAGGAGGGTTTGATGGGCGAGAAACGGAAGGGCTTGGCGGAGAAGATACAGGAGGGTTTGATGGGCGAGAAACAGGAGGGCTTGGAGGAGAGATAGCAGGCGTACTCCTGGGAGGGGTAGCAATTGGAGTCGTAGGCGGAAGAACTGGAGGAACGGTTGATGATGAAGACCCTACTACAAGATCCTCAAGGCCCTTGCATGCTTCGCTGGAGAACTGGCTCGCGATAGGATAGGCCTGGCTAGTGATATAGTTGCAGAACATAGATGCCCCAAACACGGAAAGGAATTCAACATCAGCCTTCTTTGATGAACTGTCGTCATAGACTGAGGTGACGCAACCGTCGACGACCGCCGGGGAGAAGGACCCAGTTGAGCCGCCAGTGAAGGAGGTCGTGCAGATCGCTGAAATTGTGTCTGAGATGAGCTGATCTGCGAACCCTTGGTTGTTCGCCTTTGATGCAACGTATCCCCCCAGTTGTTTGGCGAACAAATGTGTATTGTCTGACAGAGCCCTGAGCTTTAGTTTATACACCGTTCTTCTTTCCGTATCTGGCCCCATTTCTGGCTTTAATTGGTAAGCTGAGCTTCCTTGGATAAGGAATCCGAGGGCAAAAAGGAAGACTACCAAGACTCCAATTTTCGGATGCTGGTGACAGGTTGCGCGGCCCGTGAACTGAGCGGGCTGGGACTGTATAGGATTTGGGGACTTTGTCGGCACTGAGCCTTCTCCTGTTGAAGTAGCTCCACCTCCTCCTGTTGAAGTTACTCCACCTCCTCTTGTAGAAGTAGCTCCACCTCCTATTCCGCTGATGATAATTCCACCAACATCAATAGACGATGAAGAAGCCTGAGGAGACGCTACCGATGCTAGAACGCCCCCAGCCCCGGAGGATTGGGATGGAGGTCCAATGATGACGGAAGAGGCCCCAATCCCAGCCTGGGATGATTGTGGCAGAGGAATGACGATTATAGTAGAACCGCGTGGTGGTGGGGGCTCACAATCAGCGCCAGTGGTTCTTGTCACGGCGTCCACTTTTGTGCCCGCGCCGGTCCCATCGCTCTGAACGTGCAATCCCTTGCAGTCCGGTAGAGTGATATTCTGCTCTTGGGCAACGGGATGATCCACTTGATTTCCAGGTTGAGAAAATACGTATTGACTGATATAGTTCGAGCCTTTGGAATCGCAACGTGCGTTACTCTTGTAGTCCAACCCATTCCCATTGTCAACACTCGCACCGCCTGGGAACTGATCTAACACACCACAGCTAGGCCCGGCGCAGCCAAAATCTAACTGTGGCAGATTCCCAGGACCGCAATCCGTGAAAGTTCCCTTCAGTGTGGTTCCAGACATGTTTCAAATCTTTGCCTGGATTGAGGTGCTGTACTTAACGAAAGGAAGTTACGGGTATGAAGAGCGGAGGAGGGTATGAACCATTCTTTTATACATAGCCAGGCTGAAGAGCCGCGTGCGCGCAGCGTGCCTACTCTGTTTGATGATCTTGAAAGCCCACGATAGGTGCGTTGGCGCCTTTTCACGGCTGCCTTCTAGCGTGGTTGTTGCATGCTATATTTGCCGAGTATTTCATGTGTTTAGAACAAAGTAGTCAGTCAATGGCGTGAACGTCACTCTCTTGTTGGTGGGGTGATCACTGATTTTGTGTGGCGGAGGTAGGGTCCTGGGCAACTCTTCTCTTTTTGGGGTTCAAGGCTGGAGCCGCGGTGATTCAGCTAATGAGGCATGTTTCGGGCCGAGAGAGCTGAAAAGAATCGATATTTGACTGAGGGAAACTGATTGACGGATATGGTGAGTGCTAGCGAGAATGGTGTGCGAACTGTCCAAGATGTCCAAGCAACAGGAGTTTTCAATCTGCCCACCTGTAGCATGATGGCTGTGGACCGAAAACATGACGTCTGTCGGTGACAGATGCAAACATTCGACAGATTCACACATGGGCGCAGCGCCGCCATCAACGCATAATCCAGCCAGATATCCTCGATGGAGCAGGTGCCATAAACAAACGCTGCCCATCCCCCAAGTCAAGAAATCCTGTCACTATCACAGGTCATTGTTAAGACCCATTTGGATTTTCAGTCGAAGTAGGACCAGATGGAGGGGTTCAATGAGGGGATTTCGGTCCACGTTTTCGCGCCATCCAATCAGCAACAACCGGAACACGAGGGCTGAAGTGTGTTGGCAAGTTAGGCTGAGTAATTTTAGTGGGCGAATTCTTGGATTAGCTTGATAGGCTGAGAATAACAAATCCTAAACCTTTCGCTTAGCAGCTTCCAAGACTGGGGCTTGTTAGTGAGAGTGGGAGGACTTCAACATCGACCTCCCGTGCATCGGTTACAATACTCGGATGGGAGAATGTGCTAGTCCCCATTTCCCAGGCTCTGAAATCAGATTATCTAACCACTAAGCCTACACCGCCATGTTGAGTTCCTCCATGGAAGCGGAGAAATTAGAGAGTTCTGCAGCTGCCCGTGCAACCGTACCTCATGGCTGGGTGGCAGCCCTAGAGACTAGGCCGTAGATATCCATATAGAGTTTAATATTGTTTTTTTTCCACATGAGGTCAGTGGCCGGTGGAGGCTTCCTGGGAATCAAAGATAGAGTGACATGCTAGTCTTTCAGAAAGGAACAGTGCCCGGGTTAATTCTCTAATAAATACCTAGATCACAAAACAACTATAAAAATGATGTGGACAATAGAAGGCATAGCTATCATGTTAACACCCAAATTTGCATTCCCACCAACTAAAGAACTTGACGACTTAATTTGCCACTCTCGAATTGCCTCTCTTCACACCAACTCCTAGTCCTAAACTATACCCCTAGAAGTATTATGTAGCACTCGTCTCCTGGTTTCAACAACCACTATCTGAAAAAGTAGAGAAACACGCCTTATTCAAACAAAAGAGAGAAGAGTTAGCAACAATCAAGTAACGTGTAATTTAAATTTTCTCTCTACATGCTAAAACTAAATTAATTAGAGAAAGTTATACTATAGTAAAAAGCTAATTAAATTAAACGTAAAGTAAATTTTTACATAACGTAAATAAAAACTTAATTTATTTTACTAAAGTTATTTAGCTTATAAAAGTAATAATTTTATAATAGGTTTTTAGTATTAAGTTTTAGTTAGCGCTAGTATTAGCTCTAGCTACTTTAACTTTATAATATATTTATTTTACAAGCAAGTAGTCTACACAAGGAAACAGTCTATTCTAATAAAAATGTGTCGAGTATACTGAGAGCCTGGGACTGGGGCTCAGAGCCTGGGACGCGGCTCGGGATCTGGAGAGAGTATGTTCCGAAGCTCGGTGTATATAAGGAGAGCCTTCAACTCTCCTAGATAGCAGAGTCACTTCATCCGATCTTCTGAACAGCTACTGCCAGGCTATTTTATCCTCTATAAAATGTTATACTTTAATTATAATTTACTTTACAACACCTTGTTAGGCTGCTAGTCCTTACAAAGGATAATGCACTGTAAGGATAGAAACAGTTTGTACAACAGTCCTTACGCGCGATAGGTATATATACTATTCTGTAGCAAATCAACTCTTAGTTGATTATTCGCACCTTCTAGTTGAATTAGCGCAATGGTATAAAGCTCTTTTCTTACACACTTATATTAATTAATTAAATAATAATAATAAAATCTAATATATAATATTTAATTTATAAATACTAACGTATTTTATAAAATAGTTAGCTACACAAGCAAATTAGTTACTTTAAACCTACATAACATTAAGCTTGGTAAGCACCTCTATCTTTAAAACTACTATATAGAATTAGCTAAAGATCCTATAGTAGATTTATATATATACTAGTAATATAGGCTAAAATAATATAGCTTAGGAGTAAAATGTTGATGCAAGCTAATAGCAGCAACAAGCGCAGTTGTGTGACTAGCAGTCGAGTCTGCGCAGTCTCTGCAATCTCTTGTAGCACCCTCTGCAACACCTGTAGCTCCACACCTTGATGTTACTCTAAGGCTGCACCAAACTATATAGTATTGTATACTATTCTAAGGAATTATCAAGCAGCAGCAGGTTAAAATAATGTAGCGTGGTAGTAAAATGTTGCTGCAAGCTAGTAAGAACAGGTTCTTACAAGCATATTAGTTAGCAGAGACTCTATTAGGCTTAGATTTCCTCTATTTTAGCTTAGCGCCTTCCTAGTTTAGTTAAGCGCTATCTTATACTAAAGTTTATACAAATTTTAAAGTTAGGTAATGTTTAAATACAGTAATTTTTTTAAGCTAAGAGATTTCTTATAAGGCTAGATGTTTTATAACAGGCTAGTATAGCCTCACCTAACCTGTTTAGAGATCACACGACCTGTGCTTTGTATATAAGCATGAATTATAACAAGCGAGGCTTGGCAGCGATTCGTCTCTCTTACAATACACTCTTATCTTTCTCTAAAACCTTGCTCTTAGTGCTATCCGTGCTATCTCCTATCCCATCTTTACATTTCCTTTCCTAGAAGAACAATAGAGAGGCTAGTATAGAGAATTAATTATAGATTTTACTTGCTAACGCTTATAAAATAATTCTTTTTATATTATTACTAACTCTAGCTAAGAAACGCTTTTTATACCTTATTAAAAAAAAGCTAAGCTAATGCTATAAAAATTATACGTATAAAAAGTAAACTTAAAAGGCTTAAAAAGCAAGTAGTAAGGCTATTTATAAAAAGTATTAAATAAGTAAATTTAGTAATGTAGAAGAATAAAACATAGTTTAAAAGCATTATTTAAAACTAGTAAAGTAAAAAGAGTATTTTAATTATCTAAAAAGGCTTATAGTAGTAATTATACTAAATTAGCTCTACTAAGGTAACAGCGCTATTAAAACTATAGAAAAACTAAGTAGAACACTTATCTATGTAAAATAAATAAAAAAAGATATTACAATTAAATCTAATTATATTGTATATAGGTTTTTTAGTTAGTTGTAAATAAAATTAGGTTTTTGTTTATATTATTTATTACGCTAAAAGAATTTATCTCGCTTAGTAATTTATTTAGCTTAGTAATAGTTTCTTTTATACTTTATAGTATAATGTAACTTTATTTACTTTTTAAAATGTTGTAACTTACTTTTATAAAAAAGTTACTAAATACATCTAACAACTATAGTCTATATGTTATTAGCGTACATTACAAGCAAGTTGCTTACACACCTAAGTTGCTTACTTTTGCTAAGACTACACTACACTACTTTTTTTACACTAATGCATTTCTAATAACACTACTTAGATGTGTTAAAGAAACATTAGATATAGTTTACACTTTAAGCTTTTAAATAAGATATAACGTACTTTATAGGCGAGTTGCTCACACACCTGAGTTGCTTACTTTTGCTAAGACCCCACCCTAACAAACTCTATTATAGCCTATAACAACCTGCTCTAGCACTATATAGTACAGTACAGCCTAGAATATTATTTAGATACTACTTCTGCTTCTTGCTTACACATTTGCGCGTTATGCCTAGTCTAATTACACTGTTTGTAGCGCCTTTAGAATAGCTTACCTACTTTAGCCTACACCTGCTTCTTTACCTTCTTTTTATTACTACGCGCCCTAAACTTCTTTAAAGCTATTAAGTATAGGCTTTTCTAAATTATTAAAGTTTTTTTTGCTTTAATCTGCTTTCTTTTATATAATTTATGTTATATAGTAGCTTTATTAGCTGCTTAAAGCTTAGTAATTTTCTATTATGCTAACACTAGCTTATATATAATTATTACTACTCTTTTTAAAACTTTTTTAAATGCCTTAACTATAGAAGTTAGTAAACTATTTATATGCTTCTAAATTTTTATTTTTATAAGCATTAATTATAACTTAAGTTCTAAAGTATTACTTAGGGTTTACAACTACTAGAGCTTATTATATATAGGTAGTAGTAGTAATAGAGTGCGCAACTTTATATTAAAGCCTATTATAACTTATTATAGGTTAAAAGGAACTAATCTAGCACTTTAAAACTTTTTTTAAATATTACTAAAAGTAATTATAGCATTATAAGCTACTTTAAAGCATAGTAAAAACTTTATTTTTATAATATAAGTAATTTAGTTATATATAAAGTTTTTAGCTTAGCGCCTTTACACTTTTTTTAAAGAAGTAAAATAACCTACATTAAGTAGCTATAAAAGGTGTAATAAGTAAAAAAGTATATAAATAGTAATAATTTTATTATTTTTATAGTATTACTAAAAATAAAGTAAGTTATAGCTCTTATTGTTAAATGGGCTCTGACAGCTAGCTGCTTATGGTATGAGCACTTAAGTAGCAAGAGTAAGAGTGGTGTACGGTGTGCACAGCGTACGAGGTAGGTAAGGTGAGGGCAACATGTTTCTGGTTCTATTGCTCTTGTCTTTCCTCCGTACGGAGGAAAAAGGGGATATCTAGATGTTCGCGCACGGAGGTTCGCGCACGAGCATCATGTGACATAGATACGTGATCCTGCTCGTGCGCGATCGTTCGTATCCAGGCCGCGACGCTGCTGCTGCGTACGGACACTGGCAACTTTTCTTTTTGTCCAAAGAGTTGCCTTCCGTACGCGTTACCTCCCTTCTGTCTGTGTAGGTCTATCTAATTACGTTCTGCCTTTACTCCACCCCATTTGTTAGGACTTGCCTCGGTGATGCCGTACGTTAAGATAGGCTAGTTGCGCCATGTGGATAGCTCTATGAATGGTGTAGAGCGTTTTGGGCTATTGTTGTCTAGCCTTTGTGCGCTTGCCTTGTGAGTGATTTAGCGGTGTACAAACTGTTTCGTGCGGGGTTTTGTGCCGGAATGGTGTGGGATCTTTGCGTAGGCAGGTGCGTAGGGAGGTGTATATAATAAGGTCTCCCCTCCTCCTTTACCTTCTCTTCTTTATCCTTCACTCTCTAAGCCCTACTGTACCATTCCCTGGCTCTTTTCTCTTTTTGTACGGTGCTGACAGTGACAGATACTCCCGCCTGCACACACACACACACACACAGAGAGAGAGAGAGAGAGATGTCTCTCCAGCCTTCCTCCTCTACCTCCAGCGCCGTTAGTGCGGGCGTCTTCGACGTCCTTGTGCAGTCTGGCGGCCCGGGGCGCATCCGCGTCACCCTCCCGACTGGTTCTGCCGCTAATCGGCAGTTCATTCAGCGTCTCAGCATAAACGTACAGATCCTTTAGCTCTTCTGCTTCCTCCTCGTACGAAATGCTAATTGTGGACAGGCTGAGGAGCGGCATGTGGCGGCTTTGCCGTCCCACGATATCGACGTTGTCTTGCCTGCTGGCACCGATCTGCAGCTGTGGGCGGCGAAGGTTGTGCGTCGTGAGGGGTACTTCCGTGCGGTCCTGGTCCAGAGTCGCGGTCAGGTCCCAGCGACTCCGTGTGCTCGTCGTTGCGGCGGCACCACTGGTGCCTCTCCTTTTGTTGAGTGTCGTGTGTTGGCCAACTTCCAGGCCAATGCCTGCGCCTCGTGCGTATGGCAGAGCCGTGGTCTGCATTGTGACCACCATACGTGAGGGGTGGTGGCTTTTTCTTCTCCTGTATACTAGACAAATAGACTGTCTTCCTCACATATCCTTCTCTTCCAATCTTGTAATAAGAAAAATGAGTGCGTACGAAAAAAAAACAAAAGAGATAGGCCTTGTACAAAGGCGTTGTTAGTCTA